TTCAGCGCGTTAACAAGGGAATTTAAAAGTCCCATAATAACATGTGCCTCCCAAAGTGTGGACACCGGAGCGTGAACGTGACCAGCGCGGGATATCTGATAACGTATAGTCTGAGAAGCGCACAAAACCTACAGTACGGTATAATAATAGTCTAACCATGTTTTCTACGGGGAGACTCAGCTCCGAGGTCCCTTATCCTTTCATATACCATTTTTCACGAAAAAGATACCCCTTTCGGGCGGAGTCTCCACGTATATCTTTTTGTAAAAAAAGAGATTTTTTACACAAAAAAGCAGCTTTTTTACAAAAATATATTTTGTAAAAAAGCAGCTTTTGTACATAAAAAGCTACTTTTTTACAAAAATATATTTTTGTAAAAAAGCAGTATTTTTACAACCGGTTAGGGACTGGTCAAAAAGTATAGGCGGGGGTGGGCCGGAGCAGAGAGGGGGTGGGTCATGAGGTTTTGAGCCTTGTGAAAGGGGTGGGTCGTGCAATTTTCAGCTACCCTTAAGGGGCGGGTCACCCCATTTTTTACTAACTACTAACGAGACAGTTGGCAATACTTGTTATATAAAACACAGCCAGCTGGAATTATTGCTAAAATACTCACAAACCTGTTGTGCGAGAAAATACAAAGGTTGACAGGCCGCACATCTATACGGGCGTGGAACCCTCTGTTAACCTTTTTTTTTTCGGCTCTAACGAGCATGTCCTTTAACGATTTTCCTTTTTTGTAAGGACATGACTGGTAGTTCTTTAAAAATTTATTGAAGTTATAGTTGGTTTTGTATAAGATTCCATTTTTTCATTCAGGCTTCCTTTATAGTAGACACTGAGGGCTGGTATTGTGTCACGAATGACAATATTTCTTTTTCCTCCCTGTTGTTTTGTTTTAGGAGTTTAGACTGCCGTTTATTTTGTGAATTTTATTTCTGATAGTAGGTTTTCTATCAAAGATAGGGGGCACACAACGAGAATATAGTTCAGAACCACTTAAACATAGCGTTGTTAAACGTATTTTAGTATTTAAACAGTAGATATAGGCATATTTTTATCCCCTAAAAATTTTTCATCTGTTCGGATCTCCTAGCTGAACGTCTAGTGATACAAAAATTATAGGGATCAAAACTTACCTTTTCGAAAATTTCAGCCAGAAAAAAGGCTCCCGAAAATTCTAGGTGACCTTTTAAGGGTAAAACTCATTTAAAAATGGGCAATTATACCATTTTTTTAGATGTTCGAAATTTTTCATATGCTTTGTGACAGATAATTTCAATATACCCTCGTTTTGCTGTATATTTGTGTCAAGACTCATAACGTCCATTGAAACAAGAAATGTTCGGTTTTTCACATTCGTGTTTTCAGTGAAAGGTATGATTTCTGTGATTTTGATATTGGTTGTAGCAGTGTATCAACAAATTTTGTCAAGCACAGAACAAGGTTTTATTGGATTATTAAGAGGAAACTGAACGTCCATGTTTTAACTAGGGGGTGGGTCATGCAATTTCCAACCTTGCTTTAGGGGTGGGTCAGTCATTTTTGTGCCGAAGGGAGGGGGTGGGTCATGTGTTTTTTATCAACCACATTTCCAAATGCTCAGGCCCCCCCCTTATACTTTTTGACCAGTCCATTATCTTGTAAAAAAGTAGTATTTTTACAGCCGGTTAACTTGTAAAAAAGCAGCTTTTTTACATAAAAAAGCTTCTTTTTTACAAAAATATATTTTTTTAAAAAAGAAGTATTTTTACAACCGGTTAACTTGTAAAAAAGCAGCATTTTTCTTAACGTATATAGTCGATGGTTATGAATATTCTTATCATTAAAATCCCCTGAAGAGTGAGAGATCACGAAACAGGCTTGTCGGGATGAAAGTGTAGTTTTTTTCCTATTTCCAATATTTATATATATATACACATATATATAAATTTATTTGCTTTTTCTCTTCTAAATTTATTTATCTATTTATTTTTTGTTTGAGGGCCGTAGGTTAGAAAACTGTAATAGGTTATTGCGCTTCCCTCTTTAAATAAAGTTATTGTATTGTATTGTACGAAGTCAGTGTAAACACAGACTTTTGTACAGAAGATAATACTGAGTAGGTTAAACTCCATTTCACAGATCCACACGAGTGAAAAAGAATAATAAGAGGTATGAAATTGACAGGATTTGGACACAATTCCCCATTTTTTAGATAACTTTTCGTTTCTTTTTTGGCTTCGTGGCTTTTTTATTGTGCTGTTAGTACGACCAGCTCTTCCTACAGTTTTGTTGAATGAAAGAGATATCCCTTTAGCTGGTCTTAGCTCACCCATAAGGTTTGAGCTTTTAAATCCTGCAGTTTTTTTCTGATTTCTATCGTTTTGCAGCCAATTTGCTGATGTTTGTTTTTTGTGTTTTCGCCAAGAAGGCCGTCGGGGAATACGAATATTGTCTATGGCATTACAAGCCGTATTACAAGGATATATTCATAAATCCCATTAGTAACATATTTGTCTGAACCGTTACAGATTTTTGTCAAAAAACTTAAGCTTCAACTTACTGTTCTTTTTGGTAACTCAAAATGATCCTCCGTGATGAGTTTTTCACTACCTGGAGTTCTACAATATAAAACGAAAATACATGTAATCGACAAACAAGTCGTTAATTACAAAGATGCCGGAAACAGATAAAACACTCACCCTTGCGAGCACCAACTAATAAGCTACAGAAACTCTTGCAACTTTTTCCAAAAACCTTGTCTCACCTAAAGCTTTGGCTTATCCCTTTCATTGATATTCCCTTAAATACATGAAGGCCTAATGACCAAACAGTTCCTCTTTGGAACACTTTTTCCACGCAAGCAAGAAGTATCAGGCGAATCTTAGTTTACATCTTTTTCTTTCATTGTTTACAATTTTTCCGCAACGACTGGACGATTTTTAGCGCAACACAGCGGTGCAATGTTGAACAAAGCTGCAAGCATTCGAAACAATATCGCAGTAATGTTGCAAAGCTGTGTTGTGCTAAAAATCGTCGTTGCAATTCGTCCAAAAAGTCCAAGCTGTGAGGTTCAATGACAAATCATACAAAACGGCCAGTAAGGGTGGAAATAAATTAATGTAACTCGATCAGTTGCAATAGCATCTAAAGACCCAAGTTTTTCGGCTCAATAAGTGTAGGAAAAATTTGAGTGCCTAAATTATTTACGAAATGTTGTTTATGAAACTCAAACCATCACTAAACGTGCAACCAGACTCGATTCGAACCAGACAACTGCATAATAATAATAGTAATAATAATAATAATAATAATAACAATAATAATAATAAGGCAAATGCCATCAGCTGATTTAATTCATTCAAAACTCAAGTTTGACACTTAACGGTTTCCATTCTTGATTATGTTAGAAATGTTTGATTTTTCTGGGTTGTAGCGGAGCACTCGCACACGCGAAGCGCGCGCAGCGGAGAACCATGATTAAGAAAAAATGGTAACCGGCATGTGTAGGCGCGAGAAATTTTTGTAATCACCTGACCATCCGTCCGTACCTCTGCCCTACATGTAAGCCGGTGTGAAATTCTTATTCAAGCAACCATGGGTTTGGCGATAACGGCATGGCCATCCAGACATTTAGAGAGAAAAGACAACAAAGTCGAGTCTTTCGACTAAATTTTAAATGTCTACACTGACGTTGATAACAGAGAAAGAGCTAAAGCGAGAGAGAGAAAAAAAACAAAGAGACATATTTCGTTGCAGGAACAAGATAGCGGCGGTGAGAAAATGAGAAATACCAGCGACCAGCAGGGTGAAAATGAGCGGCAGTGAAGAAAAAAGGGATGTTACTAAAACGGGGAACGGGGAACGGGGAACGGGGAACGGGGAACGGGGAACGGGGAACGGGGAACGGGGAGCGGGGAGCGGGAAACGAGCACGTAGAACGGAAAAATGAAAAGACGGAAACAAAACAGAGAATTGGAAATGAAAACACTGATAGGGCTAGGGCTCAAGTTAGGTTTTGTTCCCATTTTTCATTTTCCCCTTCCCCATTGCTGTTCCCCGATCCCCGTTCACAGTTTTAGTTACATCCCGAAAAAAAAAAAAACGAACAGGAAGACAAACAACAAAATCCTTTGTTTCACTTCGTACAACAACGGCAAAAATGTACAAAAAAGCGTGATGCACGTGCAAAAATTGTTGTTTTGCTAATATGACCACTTGATTTTTTCCGTCCTTGTTGCCGTCGCCGTTTGACATTGTAAGATTTTTTATAAATATATGGGTGCGTTTTGGGGGGAAAATCCAACGGACCATGAGTCCATAAAATCTACACTCTGGGTGGATTCTTCGGATCAAATCCAAATCCGGATTTTTGAGATTCGCAATCTGAGCGGGTTTTTTTCGGGAAGTATTTTAAACAAGTGGTTTTCCGAACAAAAGTGGTACACAACAGATGCCGTACATATATGACGTTCTAGTGAATCTATGTTATTGGCGCCATAATTTTGAGCCATATCATTGAGTCTCATCATTTCATGTGTGTCATCTATTTACATTCGTAAACTGTTTTAAAACCCTCACTTGTCATGTTTTTGGTACGTATGTAGTGTCTGCTTACACCGGTTTATTTTCCAAGTAATTGAAAAAAAAAACTCATCGGCTTCAGTTGTAGTGCAATCGTGCTTGCTGAAGTGGTAGAGGCACAGAAATTAGGAAAAGCATGACAACCGATCACGCACAAATTTAATGATACAGATACAGACAAAAATAATCACTCTAAGCCACATTGAGAACAACTGCAACCTGAAAAATGCTAAGTCACCAAACCTTGTACTAAACAGAAAGAAATCAATTTTCAACAGACTCGGCCAAGATGGACAAACATGCTTTATGAATCACGCAACGCCCTCTGGGTTACCAGGTTAATAATTGATAAGCCTCTAGGTTAGTGGATGAATAATTGTTCAGTGTTCATTTTTTGACGGAGAATCGACGAATTTTAATGATATTTGGTATGCGCTTTTAATTCACTGTTGTGACTACATTTTTATCTAGCTAAGCTCATATTTAAATAAGCTTAGCTGTTTATACGCAGAATTCAGATTGACGGCCGAGGAGAAGAGAAATCATCCAGGCAATTTACTTTCTCTTCGCACTTAAAAAGTTTCAATGTTTGTTCGAACTGATTAGTGTGTCTTTCTACTTGTGTAACCTTTGTTTATGCGAGGTTCTGTATCGCATTTGCTGAATGAAAATGATGTAAACATCTTCGAGACAATCGAAACTCGGCATTTCAGTACTTCAAACTAGATCAGATCAGTAGTCGGAGAAGTCCATCTTCTAAATCTAATAAATGAGCTATTACTATTTGTCTATTTTTTTAATATTTGACGTAAGTATTCATGGGCGAAAAAAATAAAACCTGTGTAACCAAAACTTTGTTCACCAATTTCACATGACGTAATTGCTTCCTTCAAGTATGGAAGAATTTGCTCATTGTTCTAAAGGTCCGCCTCTTCTCTCGTAGTCTACTGTCTGTAGGGCAGTCTTAACGTTCTATATTTGCAAGACTCAACCCAGTTCTACAAACAAAGGACAACGCTCGTCCAGCCGTAGTTCGTAGTCCGTAGTCTCCGCATCTTAAACTCCCTAATATTAAAGAACAGTTCCTTATAATCTACTAACGGAGCCCAATGGTCATTACACAACAAACAACATTTTGGTATACGTCACCTCGGTGTTGCTGTTCCCACATTGGTTACACTGTGGTCACCAATACTGGCAAGTCCGCCAGACATGTTGATACTGTAACTACTTTCACCAGAGAAGGAAAGGTGGGCCTGAACACTATACAAGAACAAATCAAAATTTACATTCTCATGCGTTTTCTTTGAGTGACCGAATCTTTCTGCTCGCGTAACCGCCATATTAAGAAAAAAGTCGGGGAGAAAAGAGTTGGGGAGAGTCAAAGCGGGCAAGAAGGATGGGGAGAATTCTTCCCCACCCCCCTCCCCGTCTTCCTTTTTCCTCGTTCCTGTATTCCTACTCACCCCAATCTCCCGATGTTGAGCATCGTAGATGGTGGCCACAGAAATACGAATATAAACAGTTGTTGAGTTGGGGAGAGTCAACTCGAGCCTCGTTTGCACGGGCCGACCCGCACCTATTCCAAACAAGGATTGTGATTGGCTGGGAAAAAAATAGGGATGGTGACATAACAATGCTCCTATCCCTGAAAACAATAGGTAGTGCATGTCATAGGCACCAGAGAGGGTTATATGCTTTTTTCTCAGGTAAGATAGATATCGATATTGACCACTAATCACCTTCCCCTAGGGAGATAGTTGTATACTGTACGATAACCAAGGACTTTGTCTCAACGACAGAATCTTTTCAAATACGTCAAAAGTATCTCACATGGTTTCCTCTATGATTCAACTCATTTCAAACCTCCACTGACATCTTAAGTAAAAGATGCGCAATTTTCCTCCCACAACCGCGTCCACATTTCTGAATTTCAAGGGCAAACCGCGCGAAGCAAACAAATGTAAATTAACATCACAATGACTTAAGATAAGATCATACACTAACCCAGTAGTCATAGCTGATTGTTCCACATGAAGCGCACTTTGGGGTCCAATCGCTGCATATCCACCATTGCCAACTTTAGTGTGGTATTCATTCTTAGCTGTAACTTGTGGTGCTGTCACATACATTACTGAAACAACAAAGTAGTATCAGCTACAAATAGATTTAGATTCAAGTCAGGCTCGATTTTCGCTGCCCTCTAAGGTCCGGTCTGGTTCCTCCTCTTTTCGAGGGGAGAAACTCAGTCTTATTTTTCGAACAAAGGCTAGAAATCCAGCTTAGTCATTGCAAATATATCGGCTGAGGCCAATTTGTTAACCTGTGGGATACTCACTCACTTTCAAGGCCGCCATTTCACATTACAACAGTCCGGAAATGCTTGTTTTGTATAGTTATGAAGCCGAAAACTCGAATCCCGCGTTAACTCGCACCAAAACCGTATCATACATTTCCCATAATTTTACCCTTAGTGACTCAAACGTTCCTGCTAACCCCAAATGATATATTTTTTGCCCCTAGTTTATTTTTGTTATACTTTAACCCTATATAAATCGAACTTAATTTTAGAACTGTTGTAAACAATAATGAAACATACTCCAAAACAACCACTTGACAGAAAAGAATCAAATAAGACGCTATAGGGACAATGTATAAATTATTTATATACATTTTGTAATACTTATGTATATTATTAATTAACTGGTGTAGTTATAATTAAATTTCGACCCTGCTCATTCGTCGCCATAGAGCCGGCCTCCAGTAGGCCAGTGGTTAGAGCGTCCGAACTAGAACACGGAGGGTCGTGAGTTCGATCTCACCCGGAGCAAGCAATTTGTTCTGAACTTTCTGATGGTGTTAGAAATCTCCTTCTTCCACACTATACTATTTCAGTGAAAATAAAGCTTTGATACTGCAGTACGTTACTGCAGCATCTTACCGTATTGTTCCTAAACTGCCTTTCATTGCTTTGTCTATTATTCCATGAAACTTTCACTTGAGTAGTATAGGGCGCACCGGTTAGGCCGTTTTTTTGCGGAGGATTCTCATTAGAGTGCGGAGGAATACATTAACGCCAATGACGTCATAACCTTTTGTCTTGATCTCATGAATAAAATGCGCAGTAATCTCATTAACTTGCGGTGGAATCTCATTAAGTATATCCAGTTTGACGGGTTTATCAATGATGTCATGTTCTACTTTTATCTTGTGGCGGTCATGGTTGGTATAACCGGTTTGACAGGATTTAGTTATTTTCGGAAGATGATGTCATATGTATTCCGGGGTACTATGATGTCATAGTTGTTTTGAATACTTCAATAGGAACAATAGGCTTGCCTAGACTTGCCCGGGATCTTTTAACCCTGATTGGATAGTAAACAATCTATTATGTGTTCAACATAAAAGCGCGCTCTCCGTTCAGCATATTACTCTTGCAATCGCTGTGCTAAGGAAACAAGTTCGCTTGCCTAACTAAAAATTCGGTTATAAACAAAACTCAGACGCAAAAAATGGAGCTCAAACTCTTTATTTCAATCTATTGCAAACAGTGCCCTCTCTATAAAATTACTTTATCTTGATGTCTTGTTACACGCTCTGTTAACCAGTAGTAATTTGCATCTGACTCATGCCTCTTTTGTGTTCTCGCAAATTAAACAATCACGCTTAAGTCCTCTAACAAAAAGATAAGGTACCGTTTCATACACAATTGTTAGGTCTATTGAAAAATAAAATATTCCACTGCAAAGTGCATCGACAACCGTTTAATTAATTTGTTATTGGTCTATCGAGCATTCGTTTGGTTCTTTTCTAGGATTAAGTCATCAATAAAACACACTTAAAGTTTGGTTGTTTACAGTTTTTATTGAAGTGCAACAATACAAAGATCCAGGAAATAAAAATTCTGTAACATTCATAGTAATGTCTAGTCTTCATCTTGTGGAATGGGCTGCTTTTCGTACAATCGATTGAGTAAGAATTTTCGCTTATCGATCGCTAGTTCTGTCGATTCCAACCAATCAAATCCTTCTGTGTCTTTAAGCTCTTTTTGAGTTTCCATCACTTTTTTGAAGGTGGGGTCTTTTTTCATTGCACGCATCCACTGTAGATTCTCTAAGAGTACTTTTCTTAGCTCTTTTCTGTAAACAGGAAGAAGAGCGTTCTCGGCTTACACGCGGGCCACATTTTCTGAATCTCCGTCCCCTTCGTAGTCATTGATCAATGCGTTGAGCTGGGTCTCATGGCGTTTCTCGGCTTCATCAAGAATGCGTGACCAAGGCTCTAAGTTTTCCGTTTCTTCCTCTTGGGAAGACTCCGTTCCTTGGCTAGAGACTTCGCTTTCTTGGGAGAAATCGCTTTCTTCGCTGTCTTCATATTTTCCAGCACCTTGTTGAAGGTATAAGGTATAGCCTGTGCTCGTCATCTTTGGTTTCAGCCGCACGCGTTCTGATAGGAAACTAAACTTCAGAGAGCAACGCGCCTCTTTTATAGAAAATTGGTGAAGGCGGGGCTACTAAGCGTTCTCCTTCGTAAATAATAATCGATCTTACATCGACCCCTCATCGACCCCACATCGATCCCACATCGATCCTACATCGAGCCCACATCGACCCCAAATCGACCTCACATCGATCCTACATCGAGCCCACATCGACCCCAAATCGACCTCACATCGACCCTACATCGACCCCACATCGACCCTACATCGACCCCACATCGACCCCACATCGACCCTACATCGACCCTACATCGACCCCACATCGACCCCGCATCGACCCCACATCGATCTAATATTACACCACGATTGACAAGAATTGGATTAGAACTAATGATGACTCATCAAATTTGATTAGCGAAGCTATATAAACAGGAAAATAACTTATTTCCTTCAGTATGTTGGAGGTTCTCGTGTGGTAAAGATGCCGTATAAATTCAAGAGAGATTGCCCGGTATGTGGTAAGCCAGAGTTACTCTCTTTGAGTGATCACCTGCGTCAAGTGCATCGATTAAAGAGCCACGAAAGAAAGCAATGGCTAAAAGCAGCAGTATTTTCGGGATCTAAGAAAAGTCTGGGTATAACACAAGGAGTGTCCCGACGTTTTACACAATTATTGCACACAGAAAAGGAAAGAAGAAGAGAACGAAAACGAACTATTGCAGCTGTCAAAGAACCGGAAAAACCTCAGCATTGTATAGTCAAGAGGCCCAAATTCACTGACGATGTTTCCCTGGAAACCAAGGCATATCCAGAATTTATGTTTCGACATAAATTTTCACTTCTCGTGGTGGGCCCCACTCAGTGTGGTAAAACATTTTTTGTTGAAAAAATTCTCACAACGGATCGTATTCTTTACGAGAGCAAGAAACCGAGGCGAATATGGTGGTACTACAGTCAGTGGCAGGATACCTACAAAGTGATGCAGTCATCTATCGGAAAGGAAATTCAGTTTTTTCGTGGCCTTCCAGAGTTTAAAGAAGATCTTCGGGAAATTGACCCAAAGTTTAACAATGTACTGGTGTTTGACGATCTTATGGCCCAAGCAACAGATAGTCCTCTCGTTTCCCTTCTGTTTACCCAAGGCCGGCATAGAAATGCTAGTGTGATACTGCTGCTACAAAATATGTTTCCATTACTATGAATGTTACAGAATTTTTTATTTCCTGGATCTTTGTATTGTTGCACTTCAATAAAAACTGTAAACAACCAAACTTTAAGTGTGTTTTATTGATGACTTAATCCTAGAAAAGAACCAAACGAATGCTCGATAGACCAATAACAAATTAATTAAACGGTTGTCGATGCACTTTGCAGTGGAATATTTTATTTTTCAATAGACCTAACAATTGTGTATGAAACGGTACCTTATCTTTTTGTTAGAGGACTTAAGCGTGATTGTTTAATTTGCGAGAACACAAAAGAGGCATGAGTCAGATGCAAATTACTACTGGTTAACAGAGCGTGTAACAAGACATCAAGATAAAGTAATTTTATAGAGAGAGCACTGTTTGCAATAGATTGAAATAAAGAGTTTGAGCTCCATTTTTTGCGTCTGAGTTTTGTTTATAACCGAATTTTTAGTTAGGCAAGCGAACTTGTTTCCTTAGCACAGCGATTGTAAGAGTAATATGCTGAACGGAGAGCGCGCTTTTATGTTGAACACATAATAGATTGTTTACTATCCAATCAGGGTTAAAAGATCCCGGGCAAGTCTAGGCAAGCCTATTGTTCCTATTGAAGTATTCAAAACAACTATGACATCATAGTACCCCGGAATACATATGACATCATCTTCCGAAAATAACTAAATCCTGTCAAACCGGTTATACCAACCATGACCGCCACAAGATAAAAATAGAACATGACATCATTGATAAACCCGTCAAACTGGATATACTTAATGAGATTCCACCGCAAGTTAATGAGATTACTGCGCATTTTATTCATGAGATCAAGACAAAAGGTTATGACGTCATTGGCGTTAATGTATTCCTCCGCACTCTAATGAGAATCCTCCGCAAAGAAACGGCCTAACCGGTGTGCCCTATACTACTCACTTGGTTAGCAAACTGTCGTTTCGCTTCTTCTGATCATTCGTAACAGTCCTGATCATTACGTTGTTTGAACTGCAGTCAAATACGTAGACAATTACTCACAATGGTTTGCTCTCCAGTGGGCCTCATTGGCTTAATGGATAGAGGGTTTGGTCCGATCATCGCAAAGCTAGGCAAGGGTTCGATTCCCGGTCAAGCCTGAAATTTTTTCAGGTTTTTTTCAACCGCTTAGGTTGTTCATTCTACTGCAAAGATCATGTTATCTTTTATATCACTACTATGTTACATGATTGTTCCCGGTCACTGCTGCCATCTCTCGGTGACTAGAACCGCGTTTCACTTCCATTGAAGGCTCGCGCTATCGTTAGTTAATTTTAAAAACTATATGTACAACTTTTGTTTTTTTGATCCTCAAATTCTTCGTTTTCACGTGAAAACTAACAAGAGGTGACGGGCCGCACATCTTCACAGGCGTTAAACCTTTGAAAACCTTTTACATATTGCTCCAGTGAGGAGAACTCTTTCAGGGATCTTACACTTTAAAATTTGAACAATGATATAGCTTCTATATAGCGGACCAAGATACGGCTCGGTACAGTTTATGTTCAGCAGGGGAAAATTGTGTAAGAAGAGCAGAACCTTTAAAATGTACAACAGACAATTTATTCAGTTCTGGAAAACCTGAATATCCTGCGTTTGAGTTTTAAACAAGCTTATTTAAAATATCGCAATTTTTTTTCAAAGCTATGATTAGTTCGTGGCTCTAATTTCGTGTTGTCCAATTCAGTCTGTAATCATACTCGTGATTAAACAAAACGGATACGTATGATTACAGACCGAAACGGATTCCACCCAGTCCTATTAACATTTACTTATTTATTTTCATTTATTTATTTAACCATCTACTTTAAATTAATACACAACTTACTGGTTGGTTGAAAGCCAGGTGTCGGTTGAGATAACACTGTTGCAACTGAAGTACTGGTGGGCTGTGACACAATTTGTTCTGTTACAGGATAACGATCTAGCGTGCAAAGGTATAAGATGGCTTAGGCCTTGGCGAAACGTTGAACTTTTCATGAGACGAACCAAACTCTACTTTGGATCGACCTAAATTAAGTTAAGATCGTCTGTTGGGTCATCAGACTTCCAACTTAGGACACGTCGAGCCAATCAACTGAATCAGACAAAAACGCAATTTTAATACCGAACAAGGCTAAATATACATTATCAAACAAATTTTTAATTTATAAGTTTAGTTCGTCGCATGTGAAGATCGACGTTTGACCCGGAAACGATCTTCTGGCGTTCTATCCGTCGGAAGCAGACTGATAGAATGTATTAGACGATCAAACTCATTCAGACGAACTTAAGTTCACTTCGTCTCATGGAAAGATCGACGTTTGGCCTAGACCTTAGATAACAGAAAATGCTATATGAGTTATGTAGCTCGTAGACTGTTCACAGTCCTCTATTTTTCCGTAAGATCATCGAGATCGAGCGCTTTGCCTTACGGGCTGCCATCTTGCATGAGTGTCAAAACTACTTAGGGGGCGGGCCGGTTTTGGAAGAAGCGATTATAATCCCCGATGCCCGCCCCCTCGGTGCATTTGAAAATCACGATAGCCGTGACGGTAAGACGCGGTATATCTAAACGATCTCACGAAAAAATAAGGGACTGTGAACAGTCTATGTAGCTCGATAGTCATTAAACTGCGCTGGGAATAAAATAAGGAACTAAAATACCAAGAGAGAGAAAATTCAGGATTCACTTATTAAGCTATAAAATCCCCTAAGGGAAGGATACTGAAGAACGTATCATACTTTGCCAAAAAAGGAACCTTTGAAGTTACATTCACTTGCAAAAATGAGGCGACCCTCCGACGTGGTCTTGTACTGAAATGATGAATATAATTATGACTTTCATATAATTACTTGAACTACGGAAAGAAGAAATAAATGCAGAAAAAATCATATTTAACTGTGATGATCTTCTGTGCATTTATGGTCTTGTATTTCTAGCAATTTCGATAGGGGGGCCGGGGAGAGGGGGTAAACGATCATAATGTAGATAAAAAACAAGTGAATCCAATTAGAATAACTCGATTATGCTCAAAGTGGAAATGCCGTACACAAAAAAATAACCAATACTAGGATCTTTTTAGACATGTTCTGGTGGCGTGGAATGTTCTTAGATCTTTGTGGGAAGGAACGAATTACAAAGCACAAAGAAGGTTGCATAGGAGGCTGTAGAAAGTGCTGTACCAGTAGGAGGTCAACTAGTTTACCGGAACTGTTTCCACATGGTCTGCATAGTTTCTAAAAATAACTTTTTTGAAATTAAGCTATCCCAGAGGCATCACTGCAGTGGGACACTCCCTCCCTATCCTGAGATCAGGCTCAATTTTCGTTTCGCTTTGTAAATAACATTCCGGTGGGTAAAGAGAATGCATGAGAACCGCTAAAATTGGGCCTGATCTCAGGTTACCCCTCCCTTGTCCTGTTATGATCTCTTGGTTGTACCACATAATTATATTACTGTCAAACTCAGAGAACCGTGAACACCTGAAAAATTTCAGGAATGTTGATTGTGTACTGGCCAATCACAATAAAGTTCAGGATACACAAGCAAACCTCAAAACCACAAACTAATTACCTTTGCTGTTTATGGTTTAGTTATCTCACGCCTTATTGGCTTATTTCTCGCAACACAATAACATTCCATAAATATTTCTGGTGTTCACGGTTTTGTGAGTTTCACAGGAAGTGTAATGAGTATAAAATATACCACTATTAGCTTCCACTGAACCACCTCTTCCAATCTCTTTGACAACTGGTCTGGTCAGTTCCATTAAATGCTGTACATGCAAACCAAAAACCAAGTAAGTTCTCTTTTCTAACTAGGACCATGGATGGAGATAATATCTGTAAGAGACATGATGTCACCTGATGCTAACCTGTCTGGCTTTTAAAGGATTCTCCAGAAGCTCCATGATGACTTTGTTGCCTTTTGCAAGCTGCTTTGGTGTTTCATTATGCTGCAAAGTCAGTAATTAGGAACTGATTTGGTTAATAGCTCACCCAACTGGTACCGCATGGGTTACCAGTGCAAACTGATACACATTGCTGCATTATCCTACAACTTGAGACCAGGTCAAATTGTAGTCAACACTTGTACACATTTTACTCGAAAAAATTTTTAACGTTATTATATAATGTACGGTATCTATTCAAATAAACTCCATCCTCGATTAGATAATCAGAAAAATGCGGCGTTTATTCGAGGACTATAAGAAAAAACTCGGTTTAACTTAGTAATGTACACAATGAAAACAATCTCGATTCTATCTCAGCAAAAAAAGAGAGAGATTGGAACTTTGAAAAATTGTCTGTTTTACTTCTTTGGAATTCTATGAGCTTTACGGCATCTTTAATCATTTCACTTTTCCATTTTCCGGGGATTTTCTGTGCACGCTATAGTGGTCAAGAGCCCAGCCAGGGGACAAAGGCTAATATTTCTTGCGATAGTACAGATGATGTTCCAATTATTTTTCTCAAGCTACGTGTAACATAATGCTAACTTTCGTAGGAACTCAACAACTGACCTACTCCCTATGTATGGGTCTTCATAGCTCAGTTGGTAGAGCACTACAGCGCTAACAGAGGCTTTGGATTGGCCTTAAAGGGGCGCTGATCCTGGTAATAATATGCGAAAATTTAATTGTATATCACAACTGCGTCGATTTACGTCACGTAAATAGCACTAACCAATGAAGTAATGTAAAAAACGATATAATTTTTACTCAGAGGTTTTAGATCTCGGTATTTGTTACTATTTTTCTTAGCCTACAATTTCCAATTCTACGTATTGAGTACCCCACCGTGGCCTCAATAGGTAGGTGGCCCTCATCCCCAGCTCAGCAGTTTATGATCTCAAACTTCTGAGTGAAACACCTATGATCTATAAGAGTGTGACATAGAGAATAGAGAGCTTTCATCTCACTTAAACGATGCCGTTCAATTTGTCAAATGCTGGTGATCTTTTCGGGGGCTGAGTTCTAAACGATTGTATTGAAAGTTTAAAAAAAGAATTAGGAAATAGTTGCTTTGTGTTCACGTCCACAACAAAATGTGAAATAAAGCAGTTTGTAAAAAAAAAATGTACACAAAAGGGTGTTGAACGTGAAAAACTTTCTTTTGCTGATCTAAACCTATTGCTTTTCTCGCGGTTCTCGTTGCTGTCGCCATTGCCGTTGTACAATACATTCAGGCTGGATTCTTACTCTGTTTTCTAGCTCCAGTGAAGAAACAGCACCATAACACAACAACAGAGCAACAGAATTTTGGCACTCCCGCGCCACGGCCAAGTGAAGAGGAGTATTTTTATCCTACAATAAAGGAAAGATATATTCTTAGAATTATTTACACATATTTCTACAACATAAATACATGTAAAATAATGTCTTTAAAGATCCATGTTTGCTGTCAGTTTTACACTTGATACCATATACGTCTGGTGCAAATTATTGCAATAGCGACAATAAATAGCACTACCTAGAAATGTGTAGTGCTTCTGATTGGTTCAATTAAATTTAGTTTCCACGCGGCACAACCAATCAGAAGCACTACCCAGATCTGGGTAGTGACGCGTCATCAGAATGGAATTTCTGCGCTCCTTTCGCTGACGTCATTTGGCAGGAAAACCAATGGTTAACGTCGCCAAATGTCGGCTGTTTTCTCAGGCTTGCTTAGGCCCTGTTTTACAGAAAAAACCTGTCTCAACCGAGTCACTGAACCCTAGAAAGCGATTATATGAGGAAAAAGTTGACTCCTTTGCCCAAGCCAACATCACTTAGTGCAGGCTTTGATTGTAAAAACAGCACTTGAGGATGCTCTGATTGTCTTGCCTTGACCAAAGTTGACCCAGCTAGGTAAGCTAAAGTGTTTATATGTGACCCACCACAGGATTTTAAAGCTAAAGGTATTCAAAAGCATGCTCACAACATGCTTCCGCTGCATGCTAAGTATGTTTAGATACTGGTCGAGCACGTATTAAATTGCTAAAACAAAGAAGGACAAGCTTGGCTTTGTTTATATGGAGGAGAGTTGGCCCAGCTAGCTACACTGTGCCTGAGAATACAAATGATTTGGATGTAGCAGCATGCAAAGAAAGTAATGTCCAGTAGCCCGGGGCAAGTGGTTTTTGCTATCAGGCTGGTATATTCTGTTCAATTTTTTTGCTGGTCAGTTGAAATAAGTTTAAGGCCAAGGGTTTTGACTCAGTCCCTTTGCATAAAATGAACCGATTTGAAGCATAAATAACTATTGCCATTTCACTGTCCTGTTACAGACAGTTTTCAAGATCTGAATGTGTTGCACGCAAATCAGAAAAACACTCAGAATAATAGGCAACACAGGCAAAAACACAGAGTGGTGAACCCATCTTTTCATTGCATTCTTTTTTGCATGTCTTATACATGACTATCAATTATTTTTGTAGTTCTTGCTAAATAATAAAAAAGAAATCACAAGCATTTGACAGTTTTCAAGTTTTGAACAACTCTAAGTATAACAGGCAAGCTGGGCAAAAACACAGCCACTGACCCCATCTTTCAATTCATCGCTTTTTCAATGTCCTATAAATGACTTTCAATTGTGCCAAGTTTGAAGAAATTCTGGATAGTACATTATTATCCATTTGAAGGGAATTACCTTAAAGTTTCTGATTGAGCGAGGTAGAAGGAGGAGTCAAACATAACAGGGTAAGTACACTTTAATGCTTGGGGAGAAGGGGTGTGGATTTAATTGACACCTCAGACTTCAATCCACACCACTCCCCCATCCCACTACCCCCAATGCCCCATGCAGAATTTAGAAACCTGTACCTTATTTTGCTTGCCAATGATCCCTGGATTCTTAGCAAAAGCTACTGACGATAATAGCAACTGTAACACGCCATAGTGCCCCTTGTCAGCTGCAACATGAATGGCTGTGTTGTCAACCTGAACGAAAGAGGGACCAAAACTTATTTAAATGTACAATTTAACAGCCCTGTATATTCAAGGGAAATGGCAATCCATGGCCAGATAATTATGGTCTTAATGGATTCTGGACAGGGAGACTCTTGCAAACAATTTACTTCTGGATCAGGTGTCATTGTACAGAGCATTGCCATCCCAATGGCAAAAGCAGAATGAAGATAGAAATGATGACTATCACTTTTTTTATAAAAAATATTATCATTCCTGGATAGTAATAGACCTAAGGACTAATCATGACACTTAATAAAAAGTATTGGCTTAAAAAAAATTTTTGAAGAGCTAAAAAACATTAAACCTACGGAGTCAGCTTTGGTTATATCAGCCTCTTTCTCAATAAGCCATTTAACTGTCTGTTGATTTCCTTTCTCAGCTGCCAGCTTTAGTGGAGTATGCCCATACTACAAGAAAGACAAGACAAAAAGACAATAAAATTTTTCATGAGACACTCTATTTCCTGTGGAAATAAGAAAAATAATTAATGTTTTTACCTTTCACAGTCTTATTTTTATGCTCAGAGTTTTATCCTCTGCAATAGAACCTGCAGTGAGATTTCTTCGGACTTTACCGACTGGTTGTTTACAGCAGGATGTTGTTAATAAAAATTCAAATTTTTAAATAAGTTCAGGGGGTCTCCTTATTTGTTTAGGAGCAGGAGCAACTTGTATACATGTTATAGTTCAAAATTAATTTCAGGCTAAGATTTTTTTACCTTCATGGTTGTTTCTCTACTTTCTTTGTCTCGTACTTTAACTTATTATTAATGAATTCATAATTAATTCTTTATATTAATTATTTTCTAAAGATAATCATTTCATCAATTATCTACACAACTTTGATTCTGGTGCAAATAGCCCATACAGAGAATCACCTGTGATCCTCACAGAGGGAGAAATTCAGACAGAAAACTCCCAGTTAAATTATCAGCCTCAATTTATAGGACAGGGATGCTTGGTAAAAAAAAACCTGAGTTACTTGAGATAGAGTGCTACAATTTCTCACAACACTTCTAGAAAACACAAGAGACTTAACTGTGTAGTATGTACACATGCTGTAGTTAATTCTTTATTTCAGTTAATTTTTATTTTTCCAGTGTTTCTGGGTATGGTAAATTATGTATGCTAATGAATTTAAAACAAGAGGGAAAGAAAAAACAAAAACTTACTGAAATGAAAAATTAACTGCAACACATACATATCCCCCCACTCTTCCCTTCAATGTTGGTTTGACAGGTTTGCTTGGACCTCATTACCTTGTCAACATTAACATTGAAGAGGAAGACAGCCAACAATCACTCGGCAAGCAATTCAGCAATTATTATTATGACCAGGGTGGTAGACTTCTCCTTTCAGATATATTTTTTTAACAATTATACTTGCGAAATGAAGAGAGAATTACATTGTACATAATTTCATATCATGAATCATCCAAGGCTTAAAATAATACACATTCATTATATTAAATTATTCACGTGTCTTTACAGCTAGGGGTGACTTAAAAGAGATTTTTTACAACCTTACAGGCAGGCATGAAAGTGAAGATAGGAAAAAAATAAAAGGCAATCAAGTAATTTATAGCACTTTCCTAGATGAAAAAGGAGTTGTAATTAAAAATGATAAATGTATATCAAATACATTGCCAATTGATCCCACACATACATATAGAGATGTAAGTAAAGACAAATGTTAACTTTAATTATTTTCACTTTATAAACTAACCTCATCACATGCATTGACATCAACGTCTCTTTGTGACAAAAGCAATTGAATTATTCCATTTTTATCTTGCTCTACTGCCATGTGAAGAGCAGTGAATTTGTGGGGCTGCGGAGCAAAAAAAACAACATCATTAAATCTTAAGGGCCTGTGGCATTCTTTTGGGCATTTGCAGCCACTTGATTGCTGGTCCAAGTCTCATGGTTTTTGGTGAAGAAATCCTTTTCCATTCACCTTGTGAGGCTTGAGAAAGTTTCAATAATCAGCATTGACAACGTAACCTATTTGGTCAATTGTTTGTGCACTGTACTTTTGTTAACACAAACATCAGCAACAAATGAACAGTGCGAGTACTGTGACCAGGGCCACCGTAGATAAAGTTGACCGATCAGATCACAGGTAAATAACAATATACATTCCAAGAAAGTTGGTAATGGGCCAATCAGGAGCTCGTAAGAAAACAATAATTTACTCATAGCAAAAAATTTAAAAAATGATAGCAAACGTTTTTCAAGAAAGCATAATGTTTCACCAGACAATATTTTTCTATACAAAACTTTACATTTTAATAATGCCCGGGAGACATATGTCTGACACAAGCTGAACATTAATTTGTCATCTACCAGCAATTTCTTTGCTACCATTGCCACATTTTGCAATAACATGCTCCCTCAAGTCAAAAATATGCCTTATGTTTTCATTTTCTCCCTCTGTCGACACTCTAACTGACCTCTCAGGAAACTCAGATCACGTCTGTAGGTTGTAATTGGTTGATTTTGATCCACGTTGTTTATTTTGTTTTGTGGTAATTATGATCATTGACAAGTAATTTTCTCAGACTGTATAGTTATTTACTGGGCTGCCTGTGTGGCCCAGTCATAAATTCGGTTTTCGGTCATCGGTGTCGAAAAACCGTCATCCGGGGGCGAGAAGACATGAGGGTCTGGTACCGAGAAATGATGTTCTCACAAATGGTTTCATAGGATTTTCTCTTGCACGAGCCCTTGCACGGATACTTTTTGTACCTCGTCTCCGCTCCCCCTGAAAAACCCACAAGGCGTTGCGAACCTGAAGAAGGCTATTTGCGTTGTTCGAAGCGATTCGATCATAGGAGTCGCTCTAAAATTTTTTTATTGTTCGACTGTTTACGTCAGTTAGATGATGTTGGTGCTGGGAAACTCAGAGAAATGCTCACGTTGCATACAAACCGACACGCCGTTCACTGTAGGTTCACACCAAAAGATGACTGTGAGCATCAGGTTTGGAACACTGGGGCCGCTTCGTGAACTCAAAGTGAGAACTATCAATCGATGTAGTACATGAGCAATTAAGAAGCACAATTTATGAGCAAAGTATTTCACCAGTTGACGACACTATGGCTGAAGACTTGATTGTAAGCTGTCGTAGTCAATGAAGCGAACAACTCAGTTGCCAATGAATGGCAGATGAATCCTGATGTTACGCACGTCCATGAGCGAGGGACGTGACAACTTTGCCATGTTAGAAGACTGGCTTTTCCGTTAAATATTTCCTTCTATATAATTTGGAAGTGTAAATTTCAGATACTGAGGATAAAGAAGACACAGACAAAAATAGGAACTCTGCGAATTTCGCACACAAGTTCAAGGCTTGACTTGAGGAAAATAGGAGCTATTACTGACAGGGTTTGGTGCCTGAGTAGAGCATACAAGTGTAGCCCACGTCGAGGTTTCAGGGGATTTGCTTTTGCTTGTATCTGTATCTTGCTAAGCTTTCATCATTAAATTTGTACATGATCTTGTGATCACAATTCTGTGTTTTCGCCCATTCAGCAAGCACGCTATATTGATGTCAGCATTAGCAAGTTCCAGAAACATGCCTTTGAAAATTTTCAGCTCTCGTGATGTTTCTTGATATTTCTTCTACCATTTAATGGAGATGTAAACTGAAGTCACCGCAAAATGGAAACTTAAAAAGCGTATAATCCATTTATCTTGAAACATAATACACATGACTTATATAACCTTTATTTTCCTAAAGGTGTTTTGAATACGAACGAACACCGTCAATGTGAGGGGCAAAAACAGCATTAATTGCTGCGGAGCGACCGAAGGGAGCGAGCAGCAACATAATCAGGATTTAAAGGAAATATATAAGAGGCGACGAATTCTCGAATTCATCACTTTTTACCGCAATGCATTGCATTTAACCAGAGTGCACTGCGCCACGAACAACGCAAATAAAAACACGGGGAAGTTCGGTGGAGAGTGCATCGTTCGCTGCTCAGTGTTCTTTGTGGCAAATTTTCTACAGCACGGTTAGAGGTCTTACCAAATTTTAAGACACGCAGGAGTCTTTCAGATGAGTACGATGGTTAACTTGGGGATTGGATTTCAATTCAAGAGCCTTTGACTCGTCCAGGTGTTAAACCTGACGAGAAGATGCATTTGCTCTTTGACTCCGCAACACGGGGGATATACAAATTCCAGCTTGCTAGAAGGTGATGTGAAAGTGAGAAAATGTCATGCAGTGCTATTCTCAAGAAACTGTATGAGCCGAAAATGGATGTGATTTTGACCATTCGCTTCAAAATAACAGTGGAAATCGAGATAACAAAACATATGTTTTGTGTCTTACTTTGTAGACGAGGACGTGTATCGGCGTTTTGAAAAGCATAATTATGTTCTTTCATTCATTCATTGCCATGGAATATGCGTTTACATTGTTTTTTCACTGTTAATAGCTCGGTTAATGCGGCTGGCGATCATCTTGCCGGCGGAAGTTTCATCGAAAAGGAATAAAATCAATACTTTTCCCAAAAGTTACGTAATCAGCCTCTGTGGTGTAGTGGTTAGGTGCAGGGTTCGAGTCCTACCGAATTCTTTATTCCTTCTTTCTTTTTTTTTTGCCGTTTTTTGTGTTGTTGTTTTCTATAAATATATAGCTAAATAACTGTTACTTAATAAAGTGCAACAAACAGCAAGAAAGGTATTGTGTTTCCCGAAAAATATCATGCCCTGTATATTAAATATATGGATAAACAATCTGAATTTCTATTATTTCCTACAATTTACCGTGGGAAAACCAGAGTTATAATCACTTGATCATTTTCTAAACAACGTTCCCACGAGTTCTTTCTATAGACTGATAGTAATTATTCTAGTACTTTCCAACATGTAAATAGGACATTCAATGTCATTTTCGATTCTTTTAAGTCTCACTGCCTAACTAATGCCAGTATCAACAGAATGTGCCGCAGCATTACTATCTTTTAGATACCCTAGTATAGTCAGTAAATGACCTATAGGGTTTTGACGAATGTAAGGGTCAATTATTGTGCATTGAGATGAATCGCTTGAAAAGAGAGACTTAATTTGCTTGAAGATGTGATCAGAAGTAAACAAAGTCACAATAGTGCGTCATGTTCAGTCTCCTTTATCCAAGGACTTTGAAAAGAGAGACTTAATTTGCTTGAAGATGTGATCAGAAGTAAACAAAGTCACAATAGTGCGTCATGTTCAGTCTTTTTAATATCCAAGGACTTTGAATAGTGATTCCATAATATTGTTTAGCTGGCACAAAAACTTCCGAGGAGTTATAAAGTGGCATAGTTATTGTCTATGAAGAAAAGTTAGTCATGGGTGAGACAAACAATGAGCTCAAGCGAATTTTTAACTCATATCGGTATCAGGTAAAAAATATGCTGTCAATCGTTTCATCTATTTACATAATGGTTTGAAGTGCGTGCTGATGAAAGCAACATGTGAGCGAGAAAACTTTAAACTTTTTTAGGTCACAGAATGCAAAGGATTTTATTCCTTTAAGTTAGAGAAAAATACCAAGAGGAAAATCTTAAAACTGAATATTTTTTATCTTGTGGAAAAAATAGTGCCGGTTTTTATGTAGACTGTAGATCGCAAATATATTAGGATTCTCTATTTACTGCACGTTTCACAAACATGCGAATTCTTAAGTTCAAAAGCCAACCGACGATTGCGTTTTTCGCTGTTGTCAATCATCTTATCTTAACGGACCTCTTAGGAAACAAAACTTTACTTCATGGGTTCAAAAGGTCATGGTTTGTGATTTGCGGATTTCGATCCGTTTTGTGTTTCTCTGTTTCAAGGTTCGTCGCTTGTGATCGTAATTATGATTGACGGCAGCAAAAAACACAATTGTGAAGGTGGCTTTTGAAGTTTAGAGTTCGCATGTTTGTGAAAAGTGCAGCAAAATCTCAGAGCAGTCAGAGGCCCCTGGATCACGTGGGATCAATGGGCAGTTGGCTGTCTGTTTTAGTATACTTCTGGTTTAATTTTCATACAATATTTCTGTCTGGTGTAAATCAGCTCTGTCCGTCGCACTTTATGCTCGTAGAACGACAACAATTTTTGGAATTTCCGGTTACGTCTTGAATTAGTCACGTTATACTGTCACGCTATATTTTGGGGCACAGAGGGATTGGGGGAGGGGTGCGTGAAAATAATGCAAATCGTTTCCGGCTTAGAATTAATGGCTAACTTGTTTATTTTTATTCATAATAGTGGATTTTAAAAGCACTTAAAAATGGTACTCTTTTTTTTTGGTTACGAAAGTCTTTCAAAAGGGTACAATGTTCTGAATGAGGTTATGTTTCAGTCTCACATAAGATTCTGTCGCAAGCAATGGTCGGCGACAAGGTTTTGTAGTAGCCTGAGTGTGTATAGCCGCCCCCTCCCCTCAGAAAAAATAGCTCCTTTGCAGCCCAGTTAAAAATTGCCTTTCGGCGATTCTTGTTTCCTGTCATCCAATTGGTTGACTTTTTCTAGGTGGCCCCAGTTATAGAAGTCACACTGTAATATATTGAGGTCATTAAGAGGAAGCACAAGAAGCTTGTCAGTGTTGGTACAAACAGATCAAATGTGGAATTACTGTCAGTAGCGATTTGGCATTCATTTTTTGGTCTAACAACAATCTTGAGTCAATAATCTACAGTGTATCTTTACCTGACACTATTTTTAAAAAAGGTAAATGTATAAAATGAGTGGAAAGTTGGTTCCTTGATCAGCTGTGGACTTTTAGATTTGATGTAATGGCTGATCTCAGACATGACTCCAGATCACCTGCAAAAATTTGATCCTTTGAGCCCCAATATCAACATATGTGTAATCTTCTCACTTCTCAATCTCCATATATATTTCTTATTATAATGCTTTAGGATATACAGGTTTATATATTTGGTTACTATGGGGGGGGGGGTGCCTGGAGAATCACACTTTATATATACTCCAGCACTCCAGCCCTGCTAATGCAAAAATAAAAACATCTTTTAGGTCCAAGTAAGGTGACGAAGAGGAGGAACAGGTTGATTATCACTGATTAAATGCAAAAGAAAAGAAATCTTACTTCACTGGTTGCGTTCACATTGACTCCATTCTTAAACAGTAATTTTATGATACTCTCTGCACCATTTTTTACTGCTAAATGCAATACTGTAAGTGTTCCCTACGAGATAAAAATAACAACAAAAAAGTAATGACAGTTTTGAACCTTTTTAAATTTTAAAATGTTATTTGAAAGTTTGACTTATCTGTGAAAACATACTTTTATTTTAAATTAGAAAAACAAATCCCAAAGTTGAATTGCTTAAAGTGAAAAAGGTACATTTACAAACCCGTTTAGTTTCCATTGATTGTTAACAAATGAAAAAGCACTTGAGAATTTGAGTCAACCCTGAGATCTTCTTGTGATCTGACTACACTTTAGATTAACCCTTGGACATACATGAAAATTCAAATCCAGGAGTACTCCCCCAAACCCCCCCCCCCACTGGCCTATGGCTGACAGAAGGATTAATTTTTGGAAATGAAAGCTGATAATGAACTTGCAATAATTAATAATTATTAGTCTACCAGTACACTTTAAGTCTCACAAAAAATGAAAATATGTTAAAAAAAACAACAAAACAAAACATTAAACAAAGCAAACCTAACAAAACAAAAACGAAACGACCAAAACAAAAAGAAAGGAAAAAATTTTCCTGCATTGAGCCCCAGACCATTAACATGTAAGGTCGACGCACTATCTATTGCACCACGACAACAAGTGTTAAGCATTGATGTTAAATTAATTATCTTTAACGTTTTTGCCCATGAAATTCTGCCAGCGGACGCTCTTTGAAGCTGGTAGAGCTTTATTTATGAAGATATATTCGAGGAAAATAAGCTGGATTTTGACGGTAAAAGCCATACTTTAACTCATTTTGTCGCATTTGAAGAACAAGTGGCCAACAAATTAAAGCGATATCAATTAAGTGTCTCAAAAAACCTTTGTCTTGCTGACAGCGTTGTACAGCTTGTAATTCTCTGCATTTACATGAGGAGAATCAAGTAAGATTCAGCAACAGTAAACATTTCTGTTTTTATTCAACAAAGAAACATTTCATTTCAGAATGACATTTCCCTAAAAGCAATGGGATTGGGAGTCCTGTTGTGAGAAAAGTTAAAAAATTGTGAGACTAACGGCAGAATCATGAGCTTGGACCAGCTTGGGGAGTTGAAAAGCAATCTCTTTGTCATGTTTATCGCCTGGATGAGTCAAAAAGCTTTAATTAAAAGTTCATAAACTTCTGTCTCCAAGTTGGCCATAGCGCTAATAATAAAACATTCAAAGTCCACTTGAAGACAACTTATAATTATCGTCCTGTGAAAGCTACAAAATTATACAATCAAAAGCTCTGGGCACAATGCACGTTCAGAAAGCTTCCTTGATCACAGAATGGGAACGATCAATCTATGGCAGTTGTCATTTGATATATTGGGCATTCTATATTGCGAGCCAACTCATTACAAAAGTGTTGACTCTACACTTGAGTGACACTTTTGAACAGTGGCCCATAAGGGACATCTCTATATATTTTTCATTAATTTCCACTTAATAATTTGTGATTTGACTTACTCTTGATCAAAGTTAATAGTTAGCAATACAAACTTAAGTAAGTTATAACTCTCGATCCTCAACTTCTAACTCGTGATCGCAACATATAACCCTCGGTCGCAACTTATAATCCGCAATTACCACTAATAACTCATAATTGCAACTTACAACTCACGATCGCCACTTATAACTCGCAATTGCTACTTATGACTCACAATTGCTACTTACGACTCATGATCGCTATTTATAACTCACAATCACTACTTACAACTTGCAATTGCTACTTATATCTCCCGATCCCCTTTTATAACCGAGGTTTCATTGAGGTTTTGAACAGGAGGGCAGGTTTGACAGCTGGGCAAAGGCCCTTTGAGCCTTGCATCCCTAGCATGCTCTCCCGGAAAATTTTGAAATTCTACAGTTGCAGAGATGTGTTTTCCTGCATTCTGAAGCTGCAGACAATGTTTTTCAACTTCCAAAAAAAGATAACTTTAGTAGACAATTTAATCATGATTTGATACCATATCCAACACACAATTATAAGTTCATAATCTTATAGATTTTAGATGGTCTTTTATGGAGTACAGTTCTGTTCACAATGCATTATGGGGCGATTCCTGTTTTTAGCACGTAGCAAAAGAGGGAATTTCATGCCACATGTGATTAAGTGGAAATTTGGCGGTAAAGCATGTATGCAATCGCAAGTTGTAAGTTGCCATCACAAATTATAAGTGGTGATCGAGAGCTACAACTGGCGATCACCAGTTATAAAAGGTGATTGCCAGTCGTAAGTAGCAAGCAGAAGTCATGAGTAGCGATTGTGAGCTATAAGTGGCAATCCCAAGTTGTAAGTTGTGATTACGAGTTACAAGTGGTGATCACAGGTTATCAGTTGCGATCGATCGTGAGTTAGAAGTTGCAATTAAGAGTTATAATTTCACGCCCGTAACCAGGATTTTATGTGGGGGGTGCTAACGAGACCAAAGTGGACCAAACTACCAAAATGTATTTTTTATTGTCTGATCCGTTTATTTAGGAAAGTAGCAATACATGAGAAATTGTAATGGCAAAGTACACGGTAGGAACTGAATATTACATTTGTCAAATACAACTGTTTGAATAAAGTTATAAAGGAGTAATTTTAACAATGTCAAATGATACATCAAAATACTGCGGAACTAATCCCTCAGAATAATCCAGAGCTCCAGCCTCCGTGGGTGTTTGGTGGCAAACAGATTTATCACCTCATCCAAAACAATTTTAACTTGATCATGTATGTGCATTAGTGCGAGGGATGACAGCCTTTCCTGGCCCATGCATGCCCTGTTATATCTATGCAGCCGCCTTAAAGAACTCACACTTCTTTCACATTCACAGCTCATTGCAGGGATAGATACGCCACCAAAATGCCTTGACCGAGATTGCATGGAAAGACGCCGTACAGGGACTAGGCATAGCAATGTCTACCATAGCATCAGAGAAGAACAGGGAATTGTTGTTTATCTCTGTGTGTTGTTTCACTAGTATTTCGAGGGCATGACCTCCTGAAAATCACAAATATTAATCCCCAGCAAGAAGCCAGATTTTTGCTATGGAAAAAACTTGATTATTTGAGAGAGTGGCAGAAATGGAGCCTAGGTCTAGGTCAACACCTAAAAGGCACTTGGCCTAATGTGCGTACGGAGTCAAAGGTAGCCGGGAAATAAAAAATGCAACCATAAGCGAGTTTAGCACCTTCCTTAAAATCAACAAATCTAGGAAACAATTTCTTTTACGGTTAACTCTTTTTTACCCTATTTAAGGCTAACGGTTAAAATTTTTCAATTTTTACGGCTATCGACTAAATTTTTGGCCGTTTTACGCCTATCCCTCTTCTAGACCCTCTTTGGAAAGAGATCATCATTACACTCCTTAAGAGCTTTGGCTGCTGTATTTGGCCGGTGCCAAGGTGTGCGCACGTTAATCTCATCTTTCATATAGATACACTCGGACATCTGTGCGCTCATTGAAATGTTCTGAATGGCTCGGGCTACTAGAGCGCAGCTGGTTTTATTTTCCCAGTGAATACACTACTGCTTTTTCCAGTATCAAAATGCAGACCTTTAATTTGGGGCCTGTGGGGGGGTGCGAATGCACCCTTTTCCCCCCTTCCTGGTTACGGGCCTGAATTTACTATCATGACATTCAAGTGGAAATCGAGAGATATAAGTTTGTATTGCTATTTATTCACTTTGATCGAGAGTATTGGGGGTTTTCAGATAAGATAAATATGCAAAAGCCAAGGCCTTACCAAGAATCAGGTGTGTGCAATATTTCATATGCGAGATATTTGGAAAAACCCTTAACCCAAATTTATAAAGCTTTGTATGGAGACACCATGTTTGTGTCCCTTTGAGGGGCACAAATACGGCTGCAGGAAACCAACAGAAACATCTCAGTGTTTTTGAGTTTTCCTACTAATGTGTGAATTAACTGCTTGAAAAACTCATAAAGGATGAAAGTGATATTTATTCCGAGACAAGGAATATTCAGATATCAAAATAACCCAAAATTGGTGATGTTTTTAACCCAGATAAGAGCCTTCCCGGCCGCCTGCTAAATGCCACGTGGCGCAAAAGCCTAGAAATTCAAATGTCCTCTATCGCAAAATGAAGAACCCTTTCGAACCAAAACTTTGTTTAAAGAAAGGTGTTTAGGTGCTGTAATACCTCTTGAAACTCAGAAACTCAGAAGAATAGATAGTTCCTTAGTTCGAGTTTTAGTGACGTCATGTCAAAACCGAGAATAAGTTAAATGGCAAATTATTACGTGAAAATGAAAGTATCTAAATGTCTCTTATAAGCCACCATACAATTGAATATCGCAGTGCCCACAATAACTCGTTACTACGCTACGCGTAATCCACGTTTTAAAAATGGAATGCTCCACTGCGTCAAGGCTCTTTTTTAAGCTAATTTTGTTCCATGACATGTGATGCAAATTGGTGGTCGGGTGCGTAACGTAGATTCAAATATAATTAACATACGACACTTAATATAACGTGGAGTTTACGCTTAGCTTAATCAGCTAGATTACAATATATCGTCTTGGTTTCCATTTTTTGTGCAAAATGGACTTTCCACGTTACGTTTTTTTAAACCCTTGAAACGAAGAAATATCCTTACCTGAGTTGTTGTTATTTTTCGCGTCAAAAAATTGGACTTTCCTCCACCAAGGTTGGGATTTCCTGTCTCCAAAAGAATTCTCTTTACTTGATCTTCATTATCGTCCCGTATCCCTTGCAGAAAGCCCTTCCAAAGCTTCTCCTCTCGTTGACTCATTTTACCACAACAGCTGTTCAACGATTTTTTGCTATGAATGCAAACAAATCAACATTTGCTCAAGTCCAAACGTTCATGACAAAATATGGACTGAGGGCCGTTAATTGGTGAAGGGTTCTTTCCACTCCAATTTTAGGAAGTCGTGTTTTTGCTCGTTTTATACAAAACAAGACGCTGCCCGCAGACACTGGCTGCCGCCATGTTTGTGTCGTGTACTGTAACGGAGTTACCAGTCCACCCAATTTATGCACGGACAAATTCTTAGCGATCTTCTTTCACCACTTCTCATTTTGTAAACATTATTTATATTCCTACAATTCATCGTCAATACGACCAGCACTTAAATAAAACTTTGTCACTCGTATATATACGCAGCCAAGTTTCTGATGCAACTATTGCTCTAGCGAAAAAGGAAAAACCGATAAAAACCCTATTTTGACTCCACTACACAACATCAACAGACAAAACGTAATGGCAAATAAGTTTATTTTGGGACGGCTTGGCGAGAACCAACCCTACAAAGTATTTATGTAAATACAATAATAGGTGAATACTGGTGAATACCTAATGTACAACACTTGTAAACTAGCTTTCACAAAAAGATAAAACTCGTGCGACAAATGGTCGTTCTTGACCTGAATCTCCCATTTAAGCAGGCAGGCTTAGTGCCAGGTAGGCTGCCAGTCATTCTGGGGAAACTAATTAATAAAACTCAGACAACGCATAACTGGCACACGGAACACGGTAGTAGCACACAGGCTAAACAAAAAGAAAAAACTCCTCACAACTGGTCGATCTCGACCTGAATCCCCCAAATAAGCACACAGGCTTAGTGCCAGTTAGGCTGCCAGTTAGGCTGGAGAAACTAATTAATAAAACTCAGACAACGCATAACTGGCACGAGGAACACGGTAGGAGCACAGAGGCTAAGCAAAAAGAAAAAAACTGATACAACTGGTCGATCTCGACCTGAATCCCCCAAATAAGCACACAGGCTTAGTGCCAGTTAGACTGCCAGTTAGGCTGGAGAAACTAATTAATAAAACTCAGACAACGCATAACTGGCACGAGGAACACGGTAGGAGCACAGAGGCTAAGCAAAAATAAAAAACTGCTACAACTGGTCGATCTCGACCTGAATCCCCCAAATAAGCACACAGGCTTAGTGCCAGTTAGGCTGCCAATTAGGCTGGAGAAACTAATTAATAAAACTCAGACAACGCATAACTGGCACGAGGAACACGGTAGGAGCACAGAGGCTAAGCAAAAATAAAAAACTGCTACAACTGGTCGATCTCGACCTGAATCCCCCAAATAAGCACGCAGGCTTAGTGCCAGTTAGGCCGGGGAAATTTAATAAAACTGTGATAAACGTATAACTGGGACCGGGAACACTTCAGGAGCACAGAGGCTGAGTGCCAGGAAAACTGGGAATTATCTCCACTAATGTACCCAACAAGGCACGTAGCCCAATAACCAGTAAGACTGCCATAAAAGGCTAGGGCGGGACATTGAGGGTAAACAATGAATAACGACCCTGGCTAGAGGTCTGTAACATTGCCTGCAACCTAACTGCGTCAAACGAGACTTACGTCGCCTCCTAAAGAGCGGTTCCCGGACAGCTGACCTAAGCATACATGGAAACTAAATATGTCAAGTAAAGGAGCAGGTGCAAAACTGAGATAACTAGTGTACAAGTACATAAAATAAGAAACGGGAAAAAGGCTGAAAACTAGCAGAGCTGAGCTACCGCTTACAAACTGAAGTAAATGCGGTCAGACGGAGGCCAGAAAAAACCTGCCCAAAAAAACCCCGAAGGGAAAAAATGCGGGCAGGAAATCTGGGTAGGAACCAAGGCTCAAGCTCAAAGCCCTTCCTACGGGACTTTACAATGTAATCGAGAATATGTTGCTCCTAAAATAAATAAAACAAAAATTTAAGAAAAACCAAGGAGAGGTTGGTTCGTAAGCCTAGATGACGAACACGTGATATACGCAACCTTATATACCCCCGATATGGCTACCCATGGTGCACCCGGCCTAGTACCCAGGCCCTGTTGTATCTCGTGCCGTCAAAATATTTATTTCTGCCTTCTTCGCGGGCTCATTCGTCAGAAATAACATATTTTGACTCCACTACACAACATCAACAGACAAAACGTAATGGCAAATAAGTTTATTTTGGGACGGCTTGGCGAGAACCAACCCTACAAAGTACGTAGAGTGACAAAGTATTGGGCGAAATGACAAATGAAAGCTCCTAGAGCCCAAGAAACTTGGAAACTGAAAGCCTTTTTTCTAGGTCATCATCGGTAGGCGTCCTTGGCTAGAACGGACTTTCAGCGGCCGAGCCACTGAAACACACTGTCACAAACCCCATTATAAGCAGCGAAGGTGGCCCCTCACGAACGCAAGGAATATAAACCAAAAGTGGAAGAGTCAACCCCGACAATTCTCAGGTCCTTGCGAAAAGCCTCTCTAATTGTGGTATAGCTGATAGGCTCGTTCTGGGAAACTAACTAAAAAGAGTTGTTCCCGCGAAACATGGGGCAAAAATGAGATCCCCGGAGCTAAAGGGGATGGAAAAAAGAGCAAGGTACCTCTTTAGAAGCTTGACAGGACAAGCAGGGCCAAACATTTCCGAAAAAATCACTTCGAGTCATCGTCCTTACAAAGTTGGTCGTTCTTGCTTTTGAGAACCTTAATGATCATGAAACCCTCATGAAAGAAAATATAATACCCCCTAATTATGGAGACCTCATCAAACCTAAAATCGTTTTGAAAACACACCTAGCCCCTTCAATAATCGAGTTATCCGTGGGAGAGGGGATACCCGCCATGGTATGAACCCATTTAATACCATAAACATCCGAGTCTACGACGCACGGGGAGTGCGACTCTTCAATGAGGTGTTGCAAATACAAGGCAACATGGCAGGGACTGGCAGGACAGGCCCAGGAATGAAGCTTACTGGCAGCAAAACATTTTTACTTGCGAGAAGCACGAAGGTACACCACTGTCGTACTAACTGCCTTTGAGGAGAGAACCGTCGATTGCATTGTAGACTGTCTGTCAGCCTCAGGGTTCAACCCTCTGGTGGGAAATTCCGGGGCCCGCGCTAGAAACCAGAGCGGAATATATCTGAAAAGTAATCGAAAATACAAAAGAAAATGTGAAGATCACGCAATAAAAAAGAAAAAACACCGGAAAAGGGCAGTGGGGGGTCAAAAGGCTACATGCAAACACCTAATGGGTCCAAACCTAAAGGTGCGCATAACACGCGTGTAGAGGCACAGGCAACACTTTCCGTCAGGCGGCGTAGAGCAGAAGCCCGCCAGGGACGAGGGAGGTGTGGGGCGCCGAAAATAAAGTCGAAGCGCTATGACGCCAAAAAATAAAGGCCTGGTTCTGAAAAGGGAATTACGGACCTTCCCTGGAACAAATAATCCCTGGAACTTAAGCAATAAAACCCAGTCCACAACAAAACTATTCAAATGCACTCCATCTCTAGTAGAAACATTTCAGAAAATAGCTGACTTCCATACGTGAGGAATAAGGGCTCCCGTGAGCGCGCAGAGCCCAAAATGTCTGATATACATGACTCTGACAGTGAGGCAAACAGGTGGGCCAAGCCAGTTGTTGTCCTATCCCCAATTTTGAGCGAAGGCATAAACTGCCTAACAGCCTGGCTGAAAAAATAGAGAGTTAAGCCAAGGCAACTCGCCGTTGTAACTACAGGCGAACCTGTCAATAATGTAAGGACCTAAGAGGTGATTTAGCCCTAGCAAAACAAAATCGTTGAGGCCGTAACCATCGAAGTCAACGAGTTTGCAGATACAGACCGCACTAGCGTTCAGGTCCCTACGGATCCACTTGACCTCGAACGAAATACAATGATGGGAGCAAATTTGAAAAGCAACTAGGGCTAAATTCTTTGAGATCGCATTTCCTGCTGGCGTCGCGGAGAATGGATTCGACGTTCTGGTTGTCAGAATACCAAAAAACCTAGGAATTAGATGAAGGGCTCGCGAAGGCTAGTAAGGCAAGACAAACCGCTTTGAGCTCTCTTCAAGTCGATCTACGAACACTTTCCGACCAATTCTGATAAAAAATCAACTCAGGTTCAGACTCCACTTAAACGCCGCAGGCTGAATCGGAAGCATCGGAGAAGCCGAAGCTTACTCTCACTGGAAGCGAACTGGGACCCCTCGATAAATTAGGCCGTAGAGAGGCTAACATAATTCGACCAAAATTCAATCACATACAAAGAATCAACGGACAGGAAAACCTAGCTATCCCAGGAAACAGCTGAGTAAACCACTTGAGAAAAGAAATCGGGCCATAATGCACGCGACGGATCCCACGCTACTCGAGAGGGAAATACTATGAGCGGCTACACACGGGACGCGTAGAACGTGGACTGTGGTGGACGACTAATATGAAGACAAAGCCGCCAGGTCGCGAGACAATTTAGCAATACGCTCATCCGTGGCTCTAATACTTCCATCCAGAGTGTTATGCTGAGATGAACGCGAAGCCACTAGAAAATTCGAACGGGCTCCCACAGGGACTTTTCCTCATAGGAATTAGAACAAAGCGAGACTAAAGCAAATCGGCATAGGCAGCCCGCAAACTGTAAATTAAGGCCTGAACGCGATAGGCTCCTCCTCCTATAGCTAGACCATAGTCAAGAAAAATGGCAATAGGGATACCTTGGCTTCTTCTAGATTTCTGAAGCGGTTTGAGGGAGGCTGACAAGAACCCAAAGGGAAGCGCGCAAAGTAGAAAATACCTAAAAACCCAGGTGCCGAGATCCCAGGTGAACGCAAGGAAATACTGGTGATCAGGGAAAATTACGATAACCGCACTAGAGGTAAATATGAATAAATATGAATAAATAAAAACCCATATCAAAAATATAAGTGGCCATGCACAAGTCTTCGCACTTGAATTTTTGTTTGAAGAAAAAAGTGAAAACGTGCCTAAAATCCAGGATAAACCTTTGTTAGCCGGAGCGGCGCGTCAAACAGAAAGCGGGTAAATGATATTGGAATGCAAAAATTATTAAAAGGAGGTTGAGGCTGGGAAGCTCATTAACAGCTACGGACAAAAAGAACTGTAAACACGTGCAGAGGCATTGTAGGATTTGTAAAAAAAACATAAAAAGGTGGAAGAAGGGAATTTGTAACTAAGACTAAAAACATTCAAAATG